TTTTTTTTAGAACTTAAGTTTCACAACAACAAATTACAATACCTGCCACTTTCGTTGGAACCGCTGTTACTTCAGGAAAATGGAAAGCGGCATCTTGACCTTTAACTCCTGCAGGAACTGTATAATCTACGTAGAACATTTCAAATTAATTTGACCCCGTAATAGTGTAGACTGTACATCACGGTTTTTCTGTGTTGGGCAGAAAACATCCTTTCTTTACTTATTGTAAAGCATGATTGAAGTACTTAATATATTACTTACTTTCAGGATAGGTAAAAGTACTTTTCACAAAAATTTTAAAATATTACAAGTTGTGAAACTACTCACTATTGCTCAATAACGCCACAACTACTGGGGAATTCCTCCGATAATCGCAACCGCCGTCGCGTCATCTGTTGTCGTTTCAGTAAAATGTATGTCGCCTAGTATGTCAGTAATGTCGATTTTGGTAATTTAAAAAATTTAAAAACTTACGTGGGGTAAACTTAGGTGTCGCTCGCGCTCGACATTTCATACCCTGGTTACGTTTATCGAATTGTATTCTACAGTCGAATGTCATTTATGAGTTCATTATTCTCTTGTATATCTGTATTTATTTTTGTTAGTCCATTTCGGAAAAGACAGTGTACATGAAGTTTGTTGGTAGATCCATAAAACCGCTTCTTTCTTTCGTGGGATAGATAATATATTTGCGAACGTTGCCAACTTCATATAACTCTGACAGATAGTTATGGCGTTATGGGGCTGTCAATGACTTAACCACCACCAATATTTCATCCCTTTGTATATCTATTATCTATGATTTCATCTATGACCATGACATACGACATCTCTTATCTATGCCCGTATAAAATAATTGCATGGTTAATATTTTATTAAAAATTAACAATTACTTTAGTCAGAAGTTTTTTGTTTTCCTTAGTTGTTTTTATTATAAGACTCGTAACTTTAATACATTTAAGTATGCAAGAAGTACAAACTGGAAAATCACAATTTCGAAGCAAGTATTAACCAAAACATACGTATTTACAACAGGATTTATTTTTATAAATTGTCTGTAGTTGTGATATCTGCGATTTTAAATCGACTGGAAGACAAAGATCCTATAGTAACAAATGCAGCTATTACTTCTTTGCGTAGATTATCCAAAATACATTCCAATAAAATTATTTTTGAGTGTTGTGCTTTCTGTAACGAGACCAAATTAAAAAAGTCGCACCTTTTGCAAGTAATGAGTATTATAAAATATGTTACACAGGAACATATGACTCACATTGATGGTGATGGAGTCATTCTTCTGGTGAACTTTTGCATGAATCAAATAACAGAACAAGATGAAGATGCCCAAAAAACTGCCTCAGAAGTATTGGTAGAAGTTGGGAAACGACACCCTGTACAGGTAGGTAAAATTTGTAGTCATATGTTTCCAATAAGTTATTGTAACTAATCAGTGAAAAATGCAGAATTAGTATATTTTGAATTTACAGATTATTGAGGTATTAACAAAAAGTTTGGAAGATTTGTGCAAGGATATATCAGAAAATTCTACCAATGTACTGCATTCAGTTATTCTCGTTACATTAGGTTCATTGGCAGCAGCAAATCCATATGCTGTGGTTCCGCATATGAAACAAATGTTTACATTATTGCTACCTCTTTTAGGAATAACAAGAAATGAGACATACAATGCATTAGCATATGGTAAAAGCAAATTTTTAATTATTGATTATGTTATTCCTTATTTAAAAGCAAATTTAAAGCTATGGGGCATTTTGGAGATGCTGTACAGGAATACCTACTGAATGGGGATAAAGTGCCTGATCCTACTATAAGTAAGGAATGCTTTCAAATGGAAATTAATGTTATAGTTGACAGTTTGATAGCTCATTTACCAAATGTAAGGGACCCAAAGGAACATTTACTAGCTTTAGCATCTATTTTGCCTATTGCAAGTGGAGGAAATGCTTACCAATACATGCAGAAATTATTACCTTTGGTCTTAATTGTATGCAAGTAATTGTTAAGAAGGAAGTGCAAAAATTTCAGTATTAGTAATGATATATTTTAGGAAACAAAAAGAATTGTTTGCAGCTGTGCAGTGTTTGAGCTCCATCATTGAAATATTATTACCAACTAATGGGTTTATTTTAGAACCACATTTGAATTCTTTAATTGGGGTGTTGGTTGATTTAGTGCAACCTGAACAGGATTATGCTCAACCTCAATTAGTTCGTGCACACAATGAAGCTTTAAGATGTTATGAAAATCTGAGCAAACATTTTACTGATTGTTGTGTAGATCATTTGTTTAAGTTGTTGAAATACCCAACTAATGATAAAAATAGATTGAAGTCATTAATAATATTCAACCATATTATTAATTCAGTTGACACTGTGAAGAATAAAATAGGTAACTTACTACAGGTACGTATTTTTTAATTGTCTGCATATGATGCACATTGATATTCAAGTTTTTGTTTTTTGGATTATCTAATAAAGTTTGAATGATACAATAGATAATTAATCAGATGTGTATTATTTTCAGATTTTAAACGATTTCCTGGATAATTCCAGCATAGCAGTGAAAAAAATGCTCCTTCGTACCATAGTTACTTTATCCTGCAAGAATTTATTACCAAAGGATGCTCAGTTGCATTATTGTAACTTCATGTTGCGCATGTGTGATTGTTTCACACATGAAAAGTTGACAGCCAGTCAAGAAATAAACTCTTTGAAAGAAACTGCACAGAACACACTATACTTGTTGAGTACAACCTTTCCTCAGTTAAGCGATACACTTGGTAGCATACTATTAGAAAGTATGTTGCAAGGAAATGAGCATCCAATAATACTTCGTTGCTTGGTGCCACTAGCTTCTTTCAAAACTGAATTTTGGGAAACTCCCAATATTAAAGTCATAGTTCGTTGCCTTATAATTTTAGGTAAACCATTTCCAGTAGCAAGAAGTCAAAATGCCTTGAGGTTTCTTCAGTTTATTCGCCCTTGTGAATCAGATTTTTACAAGTAAGTACATTACAGTTATATATTTACCTTTATATTTATCATTAGGGAGCCTATTCTCAACTTTTTTTCGTTATAAGGAACTCATAATAGCGATTGCTAGCAACTTACGACATCATTATTATAACAAAAAAAGTTTTACAATATTTTGGCTTGTTGAGAGGTTAGACATGGAGTCAGTAAATATAATTGGGACGTTAAAAATTGACTTAGTCAGCAGTACAACTGTCGCATTTACTTTCTTCTTTCAACTTCCTAACTGAACTAACGCGGTTGCTGGCAGAACGGCTACTTTTAATTACGACAGACGTTGTAAGGAATATCGTAAACACAGAAAAGAGATGTCAAGTAGGAATTGCAACGGATACTAATAAAGAAAAAAAAAATAACATTCCACTAATTGATTTGTAATAAAAAGACTCTAAAGAAAGTTCAAAATTCTCAGGAATTTAGGAAAGCAAAAACGCTTGTTTAAACATACAATTCAAACCAGGCAGTTTTAAAGCCGACCCTAATATTTTGCATACCTAGGCAGCCTCTAATCGGTGCACCGCTTACTGTTATTTAGTTATCTAATTCACTGTGTCTATACTACTCATAAAGCATTTTCTACCTTAACAAGGGCATGTTTAAAACGCAGAAAATGGTTACAGTACTAAGTGGAAACAAGAAAGTAGATACGTCCATTCTTACAGATAACTTATTAGGAACTTTGCCAATTTTGATCGTCCCAACTATAGAGATGTGTAATATGATGTCTGTGAAATTAATCGTCACCCTGAACTTTAATGTTTTTCAAAATTTCTTTGACTAATTTTAAATAATCCAGACCTGCCAACAGGTAACTTATTACCTCTGCAGGATTTTACTTTCATGTAAAATTTTTACTGGTAAATAAATAATAATAATAAATCGAAATCTCAAACCATCTAAATTCATATTGACCAGAAAACTGAATTTGTTGATAATGAAATATGTATACCTAGTATGAGCTACTGATCACAAAGAATTTATTTTTGTGAAATAAACAAAAACTAGGTATTTAATATTGGGCCTTGAGGTGATCTGAAATATCACAGACGAAGTTGATTACAAATGCACTAAAAAATTCAAATCTCGGTTGTTTTTCTGTTACCAAAACTTTGTGTGGGGTAGTTGGAAGTACTATATATGTTATATTAATGATGTACTTACAATTAGATGTAAAATGGAAATACATCTAACAGTTGCTTACAGTCACTTTGACCATAGCTACCATGTGTTGGTAGGCTAGAGATCTGTGACATAGCTATCAATCTTAATGCACACTTAAATTCTTTAGCATGTGAAGTTGAATTTCTTGAACGCTTAGAAAATAAATTTTCCAATGTATCTTTATGTAATACTGTAAATCTAAAGCTGTCCTTTGCTGTCATGCCTATTATTATTAAACTGGTCTTCTATAGATTGTTTCTATACCATAAAATCAAATCATTATTTAACGAGAAACTGCTAATTGATTTATCTAATGTTACTTACTTGACACATATATGCACATTTAGGTAATGGATATTCCCTTCTGCTATTCGTTATCCATTTTTCCTTCTTTGTGCGTTTTGTTCACCTTGTAGTAACAAAACAATCGCGTGCCTTTCTGAAATCGTTCGGAATATTATAGGTAGGTACGAAATAACACAGCATTTTAGTAATTCCAAATTACCCTGATAACTTAATAAACATACAGGAAGTCTTAAACAGTCTTAAATTAGAAAAAGCAGCGTGTCTACTCGTGACAAGACGTAGGGGGGTCGACAATGGTCATGTTTATCTCCGAGATTTTCCACTCAAAGTGATGTGCTCGCGCAAGCACAATAACTTTTTCATGGAGTACGTATGCTCAAAATTAATAAATTAAATGTTGTAGCACCAATAATAATAATATTTATAAATTTTGAGCATACGGTAGCACATCACTGAATGGAAAATCCCAGTAACGAACACGGCCACTACCTCCCTTGCTTACGCATCTCTTATGGTCATAAAGGCATAATATAAAATATATATAACCTGTAATAATTAGTTCGACTAAATATTGGAAACAGTTTTCCAGTATATGGTATTTTGCATCACACATTTGATTTGTACATTCGTGCAAGCGTTTAAAAGACACGACAGGCCCATTTATGTGATGACTAATTGATAAGACTTTTCAAAATCTTCAAACCTTAGAGCTCATTTGAAAAAAATTCAATCTGATTAGTTGTAAATATAACGCAATTCGAACTCGCCATCTTTTAAATGTCTTTCGTGCCTTTTAAACGTTTGCACAAATGTACAAATCAAAAGTGTGGTGCAAAATACAATAAACTGGAAATTGTCTTTTCAATATTTACTCGAACTAATTATTACAAGTTATGTACATTTTCATGTTATACTTCTACGGCAATAACAGAAAATACGGATATAATGAATGCGCAAGCAAGGGAACCAAAGTCGAATCGGCCCCTTTAGCGTTTTGCTCTTTGACTATATGATGTACTATAATACGTCGTAACTCGTATCCCTAATACAAACGGCGTGAAGGCAACATCCACCGCCGCTTGTAACGTTAGCGAAGGGCAAAACGATTCGCTGCATTTGAATGTTTTCAGTTTAGTCGTTGGTCTAACCTTTGGTTTCTATCATTTTATACATTTTGTTTTTTAAAAAAGTTTTCTGTGAAGTGTTAAACATGGTTCAATCTTGTTGTGCATAGAATTACACCGAAAGATTAAAAAAAAGCAAAGAAATATCATTCTTTAGGTAACATAAAAGTACCAAACAAATGGTACATTGATCGCTTGCTTTAATTTTTTTAAGACTTCCTGAGGAGAAACATTTGTTTCATGAAGAACCCATGGAGCAATAGGATCACTTTAAAAAATGATGCAATTAACATGTTTGATTTTCCGACTCATTTAATAAAAATAAGTTTTGAGAGGAACCCTATTAAACGTCAATATGACACTAAGTATAAAATAAATAAAATATCAGAAACCACCACAGCTGGGTAAATACTAAATTTTGTTATTAATAAAGTTGCGCGTTTCGCGCGAGGTCAGTTGTTATTTAAAAAAGATGGTCTTATTTTCGGATTACTAATGAACCCTAACTTAAACAATTCAGTAGAAAATTATTAAAATATGAAAGTTTTCAAAATCTATTTGCTGTGTTACAAAGACGGCCATCATTGTGCTCTCTTTGTGAGGAAGTGATTATTCACAACATACCTAAAGTATATAGAATTATCAATACAAAAAAATATGTTGCTTTCCTTTAAACTTTTTTTATGAATTATACAGTAACCCATCCACTAGTTGTTATGATATCGAGAAAAGTACCTATAAAAAATAACAATAAAAACAAAAAAATATATAGGCGATTTTAAGGATGATAATTCCGCTGTAATAAATTCTATAGGGTTGTTCGGAAAGTCATTTCGTTNAGCGAAGCCACTCTCGCAACTTAAATAATACCTACGAAAATTTTCGTTACTACGTTCGCAATACTATTGGGTTTGGCTATGGAAGAGGGGACTAACCTACGAAATGGAAGGGATAAGAAAAGGAAAGAATCATCTCACTCGCACTCGCAGGATCAATGAGGAGCTACTTGATTATACTTGAGGAGCACTCGGGAGTCAGAAGAGCCTAGTTTGCCCGGCTGAAAATCCAAACACAATAAATATTATTTCAAGGTCAACTCCTCACTAACATTTCCAGATGAATCAGAGACCCGTCGACGCCGCTTCGATTTGTTATTGTTACTTTTGTTTTTTTTTTATGTCGCTTACAGGAATTTTTCAAAATTCTCCTTCTCTAATCCTCTTCAGTCTTCTATCTTACTCCTGGCACCGAATGTCACGTATATAAGCACCTTTTTGCAGTCTCACTAGTTATATTTAATTAGTTTCTGTATAATTGACACAATTAATACTTCTACATTAAATAGTTATCATTTGACCACTATATACACACCTTTTTTTAACTTCTTCGCTTTGTATCACCTATTTATCATCTGCATTCCAGTATTAAACCAGATTAACTAAGATTCAAAGTTTCATTTTACTACGTATAAATATTTTGCTCTTCACTAACGGAAATTGCATTTGGAAGATATGTAGAATGACACAAAACGCCCCATTTTTGTGTTGCTATGGTATTTGAGCTTAATTAATGAAAGTTAAAAGAACTAAATGTTATTTTATTTGCAAATTTGGCATTTTCCATGTTATGGTATGACGAATTTTAAATGAACAGTTGCAGCCAGCAAAAAGTGCTTCAAACACCAATTTTTCCCATAGGGTGATGTTTATATTGTTGGTAGTGTGGATCTAACGCTACAGACTTCTTTATATTTTCCTCTCTTTTTATGCGCGAATAAAAAATACTTTCGGTAGATGCTTTAAAACCGCTCTTGTACCACGCGGTTTTAATTTCGAAAACTTTTTGTAGTACACGTATGTATTATGTGTTTAGTGGTGTTCCTGAAACCAATAACTCGTTGATAAGTAGGTAAGCAGTAAGTTGTTTATGTTTATATTTGGCGTTAGTCAAGCTGCATTTTTTAGTTTACATTCTATCCATATGTAGCTGTTCAATTCTTATCATAATTTGTGTTCAAAGATTTAGTTACCAAATTATATCCAGAATCGGCTTCGGATTGTAACTTGCGGTTTTCATCGCCGGGAATCGAACTCGTACCAATTCTGTGACTACTAAGCTGGTGACAACAGCATGATTTGTGGAAGTATGAGCATTCGATGGATGCACATTAGATTTGAATTCCTAATACTTTTTGTAGAGTACTAATTTTAGAGTCAAGATCTCTCTTTAAATTTTCCAAATTTTGATTTACCTATAGGTACTCTTTTCAAAGTTCTTCAATTCGTCCTTAGAAGCGTAGTTTTTTATTATTTCTATTTTTAATTCACAAATTTCAGTTTCTATTTCTGAATTAGGATTTCGATAGATTTTTTATTCCCC